ATATTTTTTCCTGAAGCCAACTTGACAAAAGGTGACAGATGACATGGAGGGCTTTGATTCCATATGTTCTTACATAATTTTCAAAACCTAAATTATATGCAAATGAAAAATCAGATATAATTTTTTATAAAATAGATCGCAACATGAAAATATGAGAATGAATTATATATGTTGAGTTTAAATTTTAGATTTATTAAATATAATTTTTTTAAAATAATTATATGAATAAATTGAATTTCATTGAATTAAATTCTGAATTAAAAAAATTAAACTTTTCAGCTTCAAAGAGTAAATAAAAAAACAGCTTTTAAGCAAAACAAAGTTCACAATTCACATTCTTTGTCAATCCTTATTTATTGGACAATGAATATACTAATATATTAAATTTACAAGAAGCATGAAATTCTACTTTCCTAATTAATCTGTCAGACAGTTTACATTTCTTTTCTCCTATGTTTGATGTTATATATTACAAGGTTAAATCTATGACTATATGGTTTAAAGTTTTGTACTTTTGCATTTAAATATTATCCATTATCTTTTTCTTTTTCTTTTTTTTTTGAATTAAACTTGGTTTGATTGATGCTTTTGTTTTTTCTTACAAAATACTTAATACTAATGTGATAGTTAAGAGTAGGGTTCTACTATTCACAAAAAAAACAAAAAAAAAGTTATACTAAATAGGCTGAATTAAATTTAGCCATGTAAATTGGCTAAAAAATAGGTTAGGGAATGGGGAAAAAAATCACTTTTGATAGGAAATCAAGTGAAATCAATGCATGACAATTTTGGGAAAAGGCTAAGTGGCTGACATGTAAGTTTTGCAAATTTTTTTTCTTTAACTTTATTATCATAATAAAGCTAGATTTAAACCCGTATGACTCATAAGTGATAATTTTATTTAATAATAAATTTTAAATAAAGTAAAACAAAAATTTTAAATACTAATAGTTGATTAATAATATCAACAAATTAAAAGTAATTACACCAAAAAATTTTGAATTAGTAATAATGTTTATTTAATCTATAAACATCTTAAAATAAAAGGCAATAAAAATAAAATCAATTAAAATTTTAAGAGATGATTATACATACAAATATTTGAATATATGAGTAGCAAATTCCTTTTTTATTTGAATTTGTAATTGAATTTTACAAATAATTAGAAATTTTTACCAAATTCAAGTCAAAATTTATAATATCATTGAAAGTTAAATGTTATCAAATAAATCAATTTGGACATATGATAATAAAAAGATATGTAATACTAAATTAGACTATCGTATGAAAAAAAAATGATAGATCAACTACAAAATTAGATAATTTTTATTATATATACTTTTATTTAAAAATTAGAGTATTATTTAATAGAAAAACATTAACTTATTTTATTTTAAGAAATGTTATATTTATAATTTTGATAAAAAATTATTTTTTGATGATAAAAAAAATTATTTGTATTTTCATAAAAAAATTAAACTTATTAGCCTCAATATATATAATTCTAATAATTTATGATGCATACTTAACTCTTTTTTGCCAATTGTATATTTCAATATATTAAAACTAATAAAAATTCACATTTGGATTTAACTCTCTTAAATCTAAATAATACTATATGTTTTTTAAATTATAAGAAATTCAACTTATTCTAAATCTTTTAAAAAAATTTTACACCCCTACAATTTTTTGTAAAAAAATAATAATAGCATAGTAAAATGTTGAATAAAAAAAACTATCATTTATCATAAATCTTATAATACTTGTTATATGTATAAAAAAATTGAAACTAAAGAGCTACTATCAAATTTCGTTTCCTTGGATAGTAATTAGTTTCCATTCAAGTTAAATCAAGAAAGTGATAATATCAAAGCAACAAATATAATATCAGAATGACAAACAAAAAAATCATAAATAAATCAATTCATTTCATGCTAAAAATAAAAAATTAAATACATACTTGATACATATGATATGATAGGATAAGTGATAAGTGATCATTTTTATCTAATTTATCACCGAACTTGTTCTTTAATTTCATAATAAAGTATAATGGGAATTTGATATATAAATCAATATCATAACAAAAACTAAAAAAAAATGTATAAAGATATATACAATATATGTATAGTTTAAACTATAATAAAACTAATAGCAATAGTCAAAACTTTAAAAGAAATTAAAAACACTAAATTTTCAAGAAATTTTGCTTAATTTTAAAATTTCTTTTCAAAATGATTTTTTTTTTCAAAAAGTAAATTATTATACAACTATGATGAAGAATTAATATAAAAGATTTTAACACAAAAAAAAAAGTAGTATCTAAAATAATACAAAACCAAACATAAAGTAGTTTGTGCTTCTAATTCTGCTATATATAGTATCATAAACAAAAGGAAAGAAAATTTAAACTAAGTTTATTGCATGGCAAAAGAATATCTCGACAATGAGAAAAAATATTGTAGGGATGCCAATTTATTTCTTAAGCATCTCAAAACATATTTATATATAGGATGAGTCTTAAAAATAATTATGGGATGGTTTTGAATGTCTAATTGACTAAAATAAATTTAAGAACTAAATCAATATCAATAATAGCATTTTAAATTAAGAGTAATTTATACTTGAAAATTAAAATAATTAAACATATTACGTATTTAACTTGTTTGGGGGAAATTGAAAAATAAGGATTTTAAAATTAGTGTAATGATGATAATGAAATTCATTTTATTTGATATATTCCAAAATTAATTTTAATTAATTTGATAATCTCTTAATCATTTTGAAATTAATATATATACATATTAAATGTGTATACGTAGCTTAAAAGGTAAAGCAAATAAATAGGTCATAATTAATTTACAAATGTAATTTAAGAGTTGAATATTATAATTGAAAAAAGAGAACACAAAATTATCCTATAATGATGGTAATTAAAGTTTTATTATATTTAATATAAATTTAATTGAGAGTGATTTAAGGTAAAAATAATATAAAATATAATATAATTAATTTAAGTTTTTTAAAATAATTCAAATATAATCAATGCATTGAAACAATTAAAATTTATATTAAATCAAATAGAATTAATTAAATACAAAACACATGCTGATTGTTTAGATAATTCACATGTCAAAATAATAGATTGTCTACCTTAAATTTTTTTCATTTTTGTTAAAAGTTTTGGCTTTTATATATTTATATAAGATATAAAATAATATATGATGTAATTTACGAGTTTAATATTATAATTGAAAAAGAAATATAAAATTATTTTATAATCAATCAAAGTTTTATTTCCTCTAATATGAATTAATTGAGAGTGATTTAAGGTAAATAATAATAAAAAATAAATGTAATTAATTTAATTTTTTTAAAAAAATAATTCAAATAAAATAAAATATAGGATACATGATAATTTTTAAGATTGTCCAAATGTAAGTAGGCCATCCATATTAGAAAATTTCCTTTTCTACCATAGGTTTTGACTTTTATATATTTATATAAGATATATATAAATTATATGACTATATTTTTTTATGAAATTACAAGTATAAGTTATAATCATAATTAAATATTATATAATTGAATAAAATCAAATAAATAAATCAATTAACAAACTAAAATATAATTACACAAATTTAACATAAAATTAAAATAAATCCACATATAGTAAAATTTGAACTTAAAATCTCCTCCTTACTTTAATATAATATAGATAAGCTCAATAATAATAATAACAAAAAGATTTCTTTAATATAATTAGCGCTTGTTCTTTTTTCTTCTCTTTTCTCTTGATTACCTTTTTTTATTTTCTTTAATTTCTTTCTTTTTCCGTTTTGAGTTTTTAGGATGAAAATGTCAAAATGACTTCCTTTCAGTGACAAACTGACGATTATAAATAAATTAGAACTCTAATCCAAACCACGTACTCCACCAATAACGTAAAGCAATCCACTTGTTTCTCTTTCAATATTCGACAAAGTAAGGAAGATTATAGCTTAATTTTTGAGGTTACAATTATAATCAAATTATAATTATTGAATAATCAACTAATAAATTATAATATAATTAAATAATTAAATTCACGTATAGTAAAATCTTCATAAGATCTTCCCAGTAGATTACAGCTTAATCTTATATATATATATATATATATATATAAATTATCATTGCCTTATTAGCTAAACCGATTACAAGTAAAAAAAATTTCTACCAATACTTCTCTTAGAACCAACTCAGTACATCAAACTGATATGCCCAAAATCAAAGTATTTTCATTGTTGTTGTAATTATAAATTAATTTCAAGAGACACTGATAAAATAAATTTTGATTTTAAGATTAAAAAATTATCGCATATTTTATTTTTTATTATATTTTAAAAGGTGTATATCATCCTACTTTTTCTAATAATGAAGTTTAAAAACTGCATTGCAGTGAATTGATAATTTCGCTTTTTAAAAATTTAAGTGATGCATTAATAGTCCACACGGAAATAAAAAGCGGCACTTCCACTAAAATTATAATACTTCAAAGAGTAGAGTATGCTTTATTTTTGCCACTATCAAGCAAAGTAAATTAAAAGCAATTTATATTTCACCATATAAATAAATAAAATGAATATATATATATATATACTGCCACGATCTTTATTGTTAGTGCAACTGAAACGACCAGCTGGAGAATGAATCGGCGCCACTGCCCATGCTGATGGTGGGACTGTGACAGTGAACTAAAGCTCATGACTTCCCTTTGTTTTTTTCCTATATAATAACGTGTCCTTAGCTGCATTTACCTAGCCTTTGGACGTTAATGTATGTGAGAAAATTTTTTTAAAAAAAAACACACACACAGCGATTTGAAGAGATTTTTTTCGACAAAGGAGTGAAGAAGAAGGAAACAAAAGATGGGTTGGAGATATAGGGGTGGTTTGCTTCTGATTATTGGTGTTGTGTTCATGTGGGTTACCTCTGCAGAGGTCACTCAGGTTAGCTCTTTCTCTTCCTTCTCAAATTGTTTATTGCTTTTCTTAATTCTTTTAGTTTGAAATAGTTTTTATGTCAACATGTTTTCTTCGACTTTTCATGCTTCGTGTCTTAGTTTTTTGAGTTTTGACATCAAGCGATTGATGAATCTTCCATATCTTTCTGGGTACAACTTGGTTTTTGGCACTGTCACTGTGTGGTTCACGGTTATCTTTCTCGTTGAAAAGATCTGAGAGATGACCATTGACAATTTATCGTAAAGGAAAATTTTGTGGGATTTGGTGTAATCACCACTGAATTTAAGAAGAATGGTTTTGGTTTTTGACACGAGTTTCGGAGTTAATACTAGGTAGATAGGAATTTATGTTATCTTGTCTCTATCTTCTTTTGCTTAAATGATAGGCAAGTTCGCAGTTTAATGATTATTCTGTAGAATTTATATATGGGTCCACATCATGTTATTTTCTGTATTCGTTCTTATTTCTAGCTTAGCGGTAATTGTCATTGGCGTGCAGAACAGCCATCATTGAAATGTGAAAACAGTAAAGAACTTGGCCCATAAAAATGTGTGTTCATGTTAATTAAAGTGGTCCTAAAATCTCAGATAATTGTCAACGTTTTTATGTTAGTCAGCCTGTCACTAACTATGGTATTATGTTTTTTGGATTCAGTTTCTTTTTTCTGGTCATATCTTTTACTTCTCCATCGTTGAAACTGATGATTCATTTTTTTCTCCTTGTTTGCTAATGGAATTGGGAGGTCTCCTGGTTGCTCCTGGGATCTTCGTTCTGGGCATCAGGATTCACCCACTTGCCTTTTTTACCTTCTAATCTGTTTTTGTTCCTGAAAGGTGTGGTCTTCTCATTCAGGCTCATTTCCTACATTTTACTATGCTTAGCTTTTGTCTTTTGTTATAAATATCTTTATCTATAATTTTTATTCACTTTTAGCTTTTAGTAATTTATTAGACATTCTTATTCTAAGATTGTTCACTTCAGGGATACGAGTTGAAACTTGAAAGATCATTTTCTTTGTACTGAAATTATAGTCAATCAATTATTTTTCTCTTGGAACTTGGATACTAAGATTCGGTTCTACTGCCATTTTCATTCTGTTTTTTGCTTTCGAGGGTTGACATGCTTGTATTCTTTGACAGGGTGTATTCGAAGACTATAGGCATCCTTTTGCTGTGTCATATCTTGGAACCTCTCTTTTGTCACTTTATCTGCCAATAGCATTCTTTAAGGACTGGTTAGTAAAGCACCTGAGAGGTCGCTCTTGTAATGCCAAAGGCCCAAAAGGAGTTAGCAAGTCCTCTGTGGAACTAAATTCTCCTGTAAAACATGATAATAAGCATGGCAATTTTCAAGTTGAACATCAAGCACCATTGCCTAAGGACTGTGTCATTGACTTCTGCATTAAGGAGGAGGGAAGTCCCGTGGTTTCTAGACGCAAAGATATTATGGAAGCACCAAAGCAAGAAAGAATTCTTAGTGCAAAGGAAATTGCTGCATTTGGCTTTTGCATGGCTCCTATCTGGTTTGCAACAGAGGTGTGAATGATAAAGTTGTTTATCTAATATTTCCTTTTAGCTAGATTTCAAGTCAAGTGTTTTTCTTTAACCGTTGAGCATCAAATTCTTTGAAGCCAGAATTTTAATTAGTGAGCAATGCCAAATATTTTCTTTTCCAGATTTCTCTTTGTTTACATTTCCAACTATGCTTCCACCATGTACATATGCATCTGTCCATGCTCCCTTTGCCTAACTATGCCACCCATCTTCTTTTGAAATTTCATATGCATAGATTTTCTCATTTCATGAAAATTCACAGGTCTTTGCTGTATGGGAAACATAACCCCGCTAAAATGCAGTTGATACACTACAGGAAAAGTTGAAATTTTCATATTCCATGGAAAGACATTAATGAAGTTCTTTCTAATATCATTCATTGTCTCCAGTATCTAACGAACGCCGCTCTCGCAAGAACAAGTGTTGCTAGTACAACATTGTTGTCCTCAACTTCAGGACTTTTCACTTTAATAATTGGAGCACTTCTGGGTCAAGACTCTATAAATACAGTGAAAGTAGTTTCCGTCATAATTAGCATTGCCGGTGTTGCTATGACTACACTTGGAAAGACATGGGCTGCAGATGAATCAAAATCAGGCACTAACAAGTATTGTTTTCCTCCACCTCATTGAACATGCCAGCATAATTTGGATTGAACTCATTAGTCGTGTTAAGGTTATAAAAGGGCCAGGGTTCTAGATATATATTTTTACGTAAATCGCTTATAGAAGACTAAGAAGAGAATGTTCTTTGAAAAGATATTTTCTAATTTTGCGCTTGGTGTTCTGTTTCAAGTCAGTGTTTTTACTTATTCATCTTGCTAATTGTTGGAAGACATAACCAGCATGTGATGGAAGATTGTGCATACCATGGCATACAGTAATAAATTGCCATAACTTTTTTTTTTTGGTCTCTTCTTTGAGGTGGGGGTGGGGTGGTTGGTTGCAAATGTTTACATAGTTTTATTTACTTTATATTTGCATGGAATGTTTTCTGAGAATCTACTAACTGTTTTTCTACTGCATTCAGAAGTGGAAATCATTCTCTTCTAGGCGATCTTTTCGCTATCCTCTCAGCTATGAGTTATGGACTGTTTACAGGTTTTATACCTTCTCTTTTATTTGAACCATATTCGAGTTTTGTTGATAAATTACCACCAGAACCTGAATTAAAATCATATATTGCAGTTTTGCTTAAAAAGTTTTCTGGAGAAGAAGGAGAAAGGGTAGACATGCAGAAGTTGTTTGGCTGTATAGGATTGTTTTCACTAGTTTCCCTTTGGTGGCTTGGTAAGGGCATTGTTAGTTAGTTTTCCATATCTTTTCTGCTCTATGTCATTTTTGTTCATATTGGAAATGGAGCATATGCCTTTCGACACGCTTAACTTGAACAAACCACCACTAACACCAAAATCCAAGCAAAATGAAATTTTCGACATTGTTATCTTACTGTTTTTCCAGATTGACACTGTAGGTGGAATAAATTTATACTTGTCAGCTAGTTTTCATCTTCCCTGTTCTGATAAGCTTTGTTAGAAGATGCCAAATAAAAAAAAATGCACATTACAGTTTCATCTTGTTCTTGATAACTTGAAACTGGATATAGTCAGCAAAACATTATGGGAACTAGTTTAGAACTATATAAAGCAAAATGACCAAATCAACTGCCAATGTAAACAATACTGGAATGATCTGACGTAACGTTTGAGACATGTGACTTGTAGCAGGGGATCATTCCAAAATGAAAAAAAAATGTTGTCAAGAATCATGTCCATGGGATATTTGGTGGGCTAATATAATATTAGCTTCGTGCTCATTTACTGCAATGAGTTTACAACAAGAAATTGTACTCCTTGGATTTGAAATTGAAGAGGAACTGGAAGCTAGTGCACTGAAATTGAAGAGGAACAAGAAATTGCCCATCATCTCTCTTTGAATTATACCAGAGATGATAGGGCATTATAGGCCCTTTCATTCAGAGTTTGTATATATTACATTGGACATTGAGGTTCTTATATTGCATGCTTGGGTTGGTCAAACCAAAACTTCCCTTGTATTACATTCCTTGGCATCTGAATCCATGAACAAAGTTTAATATACTCTCTTTCTTTAAGAAGGCATGAAGTAGCTTCTTTGCTTACCCACTTGATCTTTTAAAAGCATGATATATATCATAGGTTTGAAGTTCAAGTAAATGAATCACGCTTTTTGTTTGTAACTGGGAGACACTAAGGATCCTCCTAGGATTTCATAGTTTGTCGAACCATAGTTCTTAGTTAAAAGCTATAAGTGAATCCTCATTGTGCAACAAAACGGAATTGCTCAAGGGACATGCAGTAGTAAATATACTTCTCTTCTTGGTCCTTTTTCTCTTCTTCAGGATCTTTTGCTGTTTTGATAACTTCTTTAGTATTTTGTAGCCACTTCTTCAATGAAATGCTTTATATCGGAAGTAGCCATTATGCTTCTAACAGCTTCAGTAAATGCTCCCTTAGGGATCTTAGCAGCATTATTTATGACTTAATGTTTCGGAATTCTTTCCAGCATGGCCTCTGACTGCCATTGGTATCGAACCAAAGTTAATGTTTCCTCAATCAGCTAAAGTGGGAGAGATAATCCTTATAAACAGTTTTGTTGGAAGTTTTCTGTCTGACTACTTCTGGTACGCCAACACAACAATCTTACTGAATTTTCTGATTTCTGAATCCAAATGTGCTTAATTCCTTTAAGTCAACATCTGTTATCATACTTAACAGGGCATTAGGTGTTGTCTGGACCTCCCCCCTGGTAGCTGCACTAGGTGTTTCACTTACCATACCTATTGCAATGTTGGAAGACATGCTAATTCATGGTCAACGGTATTCAGTGATCTACATGATTGGCTCGGCTCAGGTAAATGGTTGCATAGTTACCATAACTTAATCACATTGATCACTATAAATGGAAAACAAGAAAAATAATTGCAAAGCAAAATGCATCCATAAATATTACTTTTGATCCTCCAGCTTATTCTATAAAATTTTAAAAAGAAGCATCACCCGAAACGCGATGTTGTTGCAAAAAAGTCCCTTGCTCATTAAGGATCATATTGTGATGTATTTCAGGTATTCCTGGGATTTCTAATAGCTAATATTTCAGACTGGATTTCACAGAAGTTGAGATGGTAGAGCTTCAACATAAGGCAAAGCTTTCATTTTCCACCAATACTATCCGTTTCACCTAGCCTTGATGATGCATGGCCCCCATATTGTTTGCAAGGCCTGCTGAAATGATACATAAAAGTTATATGAAAGTATATACTAATGTTATATGTACCAAAGAAAAAGGATATGTTGATGTTATGAAGTTTGCTGACTGGCTGTGGAAGATGAATGTTTGTTAATGAAAATTATGGCTTTTTTTTTCTTGTCTACTTTTCCTTTCTTTCAAAATTAAAAACAAATGAATTTTACTTTTTTTTTTTTCAAAATAAAGTTTTGACATAAAAACTTATGATAATTTAATTAGAAAAAATAGATATTTCACTTTTCTTGCTTTATTTAAACATGAAATTTTACCAAAGAAATTCAGGGAATAAATGGAAAATTGAGTAAACAAGAGAAAGAGAGAAAACAATAAAAAAAAAAAGGAAGTGAGAATGATTGTAAATTACATCATAATTTTCCATGCTTCTAGGAGGTTAGGATTGAAAATTCTCAAATTCTTCGATCCCCTTTGAACAGTCCAAAAATACAAAATTTTCCTGTTTTTTAATAAAGAAAACGAACTATTATCCTGTGGTAATAATTTCGGTGAACCGAGTACAAAAACTATATATATATATATATATATATGATGAATGGGTAGGAAATATGTCACGGATTTAAAGAAGAGTCTCGAATCTCATATCGAACATAATAAGAAGATCACTGAGGTATAAAAAGGTTCATACCACCTTTGTCTTATGAGACATTTTTTATAAGACAAAACCGTAAGGTCAAAGGGATCAGAGCGGATAATACCTCACAAGAGTGTGAACCGTAGCATGAAGACTGATCTGAAACGTCAGATGAGTGGATATTCAAGTCTCGGAACCGCGCGGATTCGAAGTTTAAGTCTCGACCTCTGACAAGTGGTATCAGAATCAACCCTAAACCGTTCGATTCACGTCAAGCACATCGAGGGAGGTAAGTAGGGTTGCCAGTCTCCGTAACGAATGCATCACGAGGTTAGGTGAGAGAAAATGTCACGAAACTAAGGAAGAGTGCTGAATATCACATCGAACATAATAGGAGGGTCACTGAGATATAACGTTAAGCACCTCGAAGGAAGTAGTCAGAGTGGTCAATCTCCGTGACGAGAACATTACGAGATTGGGTGGAAAAGAATGTCACAGACCTAAGGAAAAATCCTGAAATTAGGTGAGAAAAAATGTCACGGACCTAAAAAAAAATCTTGAATCTCACATCGAACATAATAAGAGAGTTACTGAAGTATAAAAGGATTCATACCACCTCTGCCTTGTGAGACGCATTTTATAGGACAAAACCGTAAGACCAAAGGGACCAGAACAAACAATATCTCACAAAAATATAAACCGTGATAAAAAGATTGATCTAAAACGTCAGATAAATAGATGCTCAGGTCCCGAGATCACACGAATTCAAAACTTAAATCTCGACCCGTGACAAATGCGCTTATCTTGACCTAGGTGTTCTTTTCTCCCACATCTTTGCCTTTGGTTTTTCACCCTTTCTTGCCCATTTTTTCTCTTCCTCTCCTCTTTTGTAATTTTATTTTTTTCTTTACATTCTTTTACCTTTTGGAAAGAGGAGAACAAAAACAATTTTTTGTGTTACACTGACTAATGTAAATTTCTGCAACATTAGACAATTGACATTACATGTTACTCACCATTTTATCCAGCTACCAGCTGAACTCCTGCTCTCTACCTTTTGCTTCAATTTCTGTTGCACTTGGTTTGTTATACAATCTTTTACCATGGGATGAGATATTCCTCATGGCCATAGATGTACCATGTCCTGAATTTTTTTTTTTGTTTTTTCCCATAGTAAGAGAGAAGGATGGCTTTTACACGTACAAATACACAACAGCAATGGGATACCCTTTGGGAAGTAGATATGCTAATTCTCTGCTTGCCAAAGCCAAACATATGAAAAACGTTTAACCTGGTTGATAGTTACAATTATAGACCAGGACTTACATGAAGAAAAAACAATCACCCCTGAGAACAGGTAAATCACAAACTTAGGCTTTAGCTTCATTGATCATTGAAAAAGAAATCCCTCAGCCCCTGAACCAGAACAATAAAAAGAAGGTATTGCCAGTTCAAGCTTACTGCTCATATAAAACCCACCTACATTATGATATTTAAATTGTCAATATGTTTGAAGTGCCTGGCTTTTCGTTTATCAGCTCTCTGTGTGCCACTGCCATAGATGAGCCTGCAATGAAAATGGGTTTAGATTTGCATGCTTCGATTTTGTACTGTTCATGACAGAGATAACTATTAATAGATAACAGTAAGGCTCATATTAGGGATGGATGAGTGTTTTCCAAAGTAAGCAAATGAACCTTAGCCTTTTCAAGGAAAAATGTAAATCAATCCGTTGGCAAGGATATGCCATGTGAGAAACGATTAGTAAACTACATCTCTCAGGGGATCCTTTGAAAGGATTAAAAAAAAAAAAGGAAAATCAATCAATACGTCAACACTTGAATGAGTAGGAAGAATAAATTCAGAAATCTTTTAAAGGAATCCATACCTTACAAAATTTGATTTTCCTGAATATTGGAGTGCCTCAAAAATTTAGGCTCACTTAACACTCCAACCAAGTATTACAAATTACCCACTTGAAGTACTTGGAACGAACAAGCAGCCCAGTCTTTTTACCAATGAGCAGAGCAGCTTGATGAAACTTGTTTCTGGTATTCAAAACTAGCCATGACATCTGATGTGTAATTCCATATTAAGCACAACTTTAAATGACCCAACATGATTAGAATTAAAAACCAAATTCTTATCTCTGAAAATTATATTATGATGCATCTTGCTTTTCACTTGCTTTATAATATAGCATCTTCTGTACATAAAACATCATGTATCCTTGTGCAGCTCTAACAATGCTCTCATTAACTCTAGTAATCCAAGCATCATCACACTTGTACCATTGATTACTCAATCGCAAATAAGTCACATAATGCCCAGCATCTAATCTACCCGTGTGTGTGACAACAGCAAATAACTCAAATTCCGATGATAACTCGTTAGATGCATCTTGGTCGTCTCCATCAAAAGGGAAGATCCTGTTTCCAAATCGACTCCTCAAAATGGAAGAAGAGAGATATGGAGCCATGTCCAATGAAAATGGGAACTGCAGATATCGGTCAACCTTCCTTGACATCTTTCGTATTGAAGAATGTTCAAATCTTTTAACATGAAAGCATGAAACCAACGGAAGCTTTCTTATGGACATCTGCTTAAGAGACTCTTGTCTCACCTGACACTTTTGGCAGAAAAATTTCTGATCAGAGCCCAACCTCTCGGCTCTAGTAAATCGTTCTAAGCAACTCTTTAAAGTAGATATCCCACAGTTTTGATTTGAACCCATGCAATCTACCTCAACACTACAAGAGTTATGGGATTTGGCGGATGAAGACTTCCCAGAACCCCCTTGGTTTGGTTCAAAGTCCAGGGAAAAGTCTACACATGGGTCATATGTTGTGGATGTAAAACCACAAGCCAGACACATGACATCAGATCGCAGAATACCAGAAAATATTCTATGTGCAATGCAACAATCTCCACTGCCTGCACCATCAAGGAATGGGGGGTTATGATACTATCCAATATAAGAGATAGGTTATCGCCCAAATTCTCCTTCATTGCGAAGAATGGTGTCCCAAGCATCAAACACAAGCTCTTCATTCAAACATTTTTCAGACAAACAACTTGTTATGCAGACATACATTCAAATTTTAATGACTTGAGTTGATTAGATAATAGTGAGAATGTCAAAAAAAAAAAGAGCATCATGCTTCTACAAATGTTGGACAAGGCAAACACAAAGCAACTACAGTATCAAACGTTAACTTTCAACTACAGTTAAGAGGTAGCAATGAATCAACCCCCCCCCCCCCCTCTTCAGCCATTACCAGAACCAGAACAGAGGATGCTAATTCTGACTTGACCAGAAAAAAGGGCGTGATATAAAAAGTTTCAATGCAAAATCATTGCAGTCCAACTAAAGCTCAATACAACTTATGGTTAGCAATTCTTTCATCTGTTTCCAATATTTAACTTGAGTTTCCAGGCAGAAGATCAAATTTCATCACACATGAAAACAAGAAGCTGCATATCATAACAGATCTCATGGAATTATCGACATTTTAGTCTTTACTGACACTACCAGAAAATAGCAAGAAAGAAAAGGAGAGAGTAAGAGGCAAAGAAAAGATGGTTAAAGTTGGGATAACCTTGCAGATAACTAGCCCAAACTTGATCATGTTCAAAAGAATCTGGATTTCTTTGCCCAGCCAAGGCGTTTGAAGAATGTTTATAAAGAAACAAGATGACCCCAAAGGCAAAAATGGCTTTGATGCAGGTTGTTAAACTAAAGCAACTCTCTCCTTTTATAAGACCAGGATCAACTTTGTCAGAGGATAGGATCCTATACATGGCAAAGGGGAAGTAACATGAGAATTATTAAGTGAGGTGAGAAATTCCTATGTCGAAACCAAGTAGGCTAAGGAAGGTTGACTTACTGGAGTAAAGCGGTTGACATCATCAAGTCTGCAGTCCTAAATCTGAATGCACTTGTCAACTCCTAGGGCAAGAAAGACGAAACCTAAACCCATGCCCTGCAGTTAAATATTCAAGTTACTTCTTAATCTTTAGCAAAATCTTCGATAATGTCTATTAAAAAAATAAACACTAGAAACAGTAAAGTGGGGGAAGACTGACAGTAGCTGCTTATTAAGAGTATCTTACGTTGATATATGCTGCACTAGTATAGCAGCAAGTTTCGCACTACATGATTTCTACATTTCAACTCCCTCCTTCCTCTAGTGACTTATTCCAGTTAGTTGCATCAACGGCTTCTTATCTGGATTTAATCAGCCTCTTGGTAACTATAATTTGGCCACTTAAACACTATAGCGGCAGACAACCCCATCCTTTGCACAGACTTACTGAAGATTCCTAACCAAATTTATCAATCCTAATTAATCTCTCTGCTTTACAATGTTCCAAGCTAACTAATGCAGACAAACTATTCTTTCCAGAATGTCAACCTAAAATCAACAACTCAGCAAAGTTTTACCATAGCCATTACGAATTACAGAGAACATGGATCCTAGTGCGTCATCAGGAATACCATTCCCACATGATCAAAGTCAGAATTAAGACAAATACCTTAGAAACTTTGATCAAAACATTCACATTATTTGATCAATGTAAAACATTCACATTATTTGATCAATGTAAAACATACAATATCGTTCCACAACAAACACCCTTTGAAGAAGTTGACAAGCATGTAACTAACACAGAAATTACCAATAACAGAACAAATGTATCCAATAGTTAGATGTCATGAAGGATGTGGGCCCCATAATCACACTCGACAGATTTAGGAGATTCTTCAATCTTTGGATTACCTTACAAATAAAACACCCCGCCTATGGGAACACCTTACAAATAAAACACTCCACCTATGGGAACTCCGAATATAAACATTCAAATCACTATGCAATTTCAGGCAGGACGGCACACACTTTCTAGAAATGCAATTTAAAGTCACAACGATAACCTAGCAACAGTAAGAAAGCTAGTCACCTGGACTCTGGGACTTCCTTTTATCCTTCTCCACCTTTTCATGAATTCCATCAAGCATGGAAATGAAAAATTCATGGGCATCCTGCTGTTCATAACTAGCCAAATTTGCCGCATGTTGCCACCAACTGCAAAAACCTCACATCATATTAATCCCACATGTTTTTTTCTTTACCTCAAAACAAAACTAGCAAGTAACAACTTATACAACATCAATACAGATGAAAAAAAAAAAAAAACCAAAAAAATGACTTTTTCTTACTCTTCATATTCACTCTCAAAATAAAAAATACCATATTTTGACAAAAACAATAACCTGTACAGGAATTTTGCAGGACTATAAGGAGTCCGATCCCCCGAAAAAACAGCCGAAAACATCGCATCCATGTCACAAGCCAAACACAATCTTGAATTTTTAGTACCATTAATAGCACCATTTTTTTGCTGACAATAATATCTATTATGCCGATCGCTTAAGAAATAGTCTCGCAACGGCGGCGTATGGAGCAATGCTTGCAAAACTGAATTCATAAAGCAAGTATTCCCCAAATTATTCAATCCGCGTAATCCCCATGGTAACTCCGTTGACGAAATCAATGAGGCATTGGTCGCATCGTGGAGAGGGATCGAATGGTTTCCGATGATGACGTGTTCTCTTGAATCTGGGGCCCACGGACGGTAATCTACTCGACGTCGCTTTCGTAGATTCTCCGGTTGAGATCCGGTAACGTTGCATTGCATTGCGGTGGATCCGGACGTGGATGTGGTGGCGGTGGCGGTGATGGTTTGAGCAAGGACGACGGCGGCGTCGAAGTCACGATCGTAGACCTGGTCACGGCACGCGCAGCAAAATATCTCAGCGCGGTCGACGTCGACAGCGATCTCGTGGCCGGGGATGGAAAGCGCGTGAGCCGACGCGTGGGAATGAAGTGGAGGCGCGTGACAGGACACTGCGGCACATGCGACGCACGCGTAGAGCCTCGGACGTGAGGATTCCTCGCACGTGCTGCACCGAGGGACCTCGGAGGGTTCCCTCCTTATGGCGGCGCGACCGCCGGGCGGCTTGACGCGGATACAGTCCTGTAAAGCGCGAAACGGCTTGGAGCCGTTGCGGGAGCGGAAGTCGACGAGGTGGGGACACGGCTGAGGCGAAACCTGGCCGTTGATCTTGGAAGACATGGTGGTGCCGGGAGGTGGAGATCGTGTTGGAAATGGAAACCCTAGATATGAAGGACATAAGGTTCATGGATCAGAGAAGGGGAAGATCAACGGCTGAGATTGGTCGAATGAGAGTGAGGTAGCATGGAGTTTGATGAGGATGAGAATAACCTTTGTTTATTTATGTTGGTGGGGTAACTGGCTTGCTAGTCAGCTCTTCTCCATACATTGGTCTACTATATATATATATATATATATTATTTATTTATATTTTTGGTTTCTTATATATATTTTTTCCAAAAAATATTAAAAAATTAATCATACAATTTATTTTTTGATGTTTTTATCCAAAAAGAAGAAATAAAAAAAAAAAAAAAGTGAAGAAGGAAATATTCAATTTTGGGAACTTTCTTTTAATTATTTCTGGTCTTTCTGAATAGCAGTTTTTGAAATGAAGCAAAGACCAAAGAGCCGTGAATGTAGGGATTTCTTTTTTTTTTTCCCGAAGTGGGGGGAAAGCAAGAAGAAAAGTGAGGGTTTCGATGGATGAAATGTGTTGTTTTCTACACCGTTTGATTGAGAGCCTAATACGTGGAAGATCTACTTCTTGGCCCACAATTCCTGATTTGGTGGAGATTGGATGGTTAAGAACTTTGAATGTTGGCCCACAAAAAGGCTCTGAAAGTCGGTAAAATGTCTGCCGATTGGCCCAAATTAGAAAAGCAAAACAGTAAACGAAGCTGATCCTGTTTTTATCCGGGGATTTACTGTATGCATGATGAGGTAAGATTTAATAATTTGTATTTATATAGCATTAAATATTTATAATTTAAGCATTTATATTAAATTTTATATAAAAATTATATGCTATAAATTTTTTATGTAAAATTATAAATTTATTTTTATTTTATTAAATTTATATTAATTTTTATTAAATTTTAAATTATATTATTTTAATTTTTTATATTATTTTTATATAAATATTATTATATCACATTTTAAAATATTATTTGCAACACACTCACATCAACTTAAAGTGGGCACTGCTTCTACCCTTTCACTAAGTCAATGATACAATCTTTTTTAGTACATAAAATCTAGTATAGAATGAATAGATAGGTTACTGAATTTTGCGGACCTCGACTTAACTCACAAGGTTCATGCATTTTTGTATTTTGGGCCAATGTGAAAAAAGTACTAATTGTAAGATTCGGAGTCAATATCACTTATTTGTCAATTGAGTTAATCTCAACACAGCCACTATTCATTATCTCTTGAGATCATGAAACTAAAAGATTTAATTATGAAAAAAAAAAATTATCAAAAATTTTTTTTAATCAAACATATATTATAAGAAAAAGTTTTTTACAAGAGAAATTTTGTTGTGGATGATTGATCGATTCCTAGATTGTGATGATTCCTTCTTGGAGAAGCATTTAATATGAACTACGACCAATCATGTGTAATGTCCAAAGTGGTCAGTCATAACTATGCAGCATCCGAGCAATGATATCAGTTTGTAAAAAAAAAGAAAATTTTTTTTTTATTTTTTTTGTCTATTTTGCATTCAATTTTAAATTTCATTGAATTTAATATTTAACTCAAATAATTCATTAGAAGTTGAATTTCAATAAAATTAAGATGCAAATTCCAACGCTTTGTAATTTTTCATTAATTTTCTTTTTAATTAGCAACATAATTTCAAAAGCAAAAAAGCATAATGCTTTTATGTACCCTTCTCCCTGCCCCAACTAGATATCATATGTTCTTTCCTTCTATGCTTTTGCTAAAGGAATTTCCCTTTTCTTTTATGGTAAGTAAACTAAAATATCACCTCCTTTCAAGCAGAAAAAAAAGCTATCCTTTCAAGAGGGGGGGGGGGTGTTGGGTTTGCACCCACAAAGCTTGGCTTCGAGCTGAAAAATCTAGCAGATTTGTCTAGGCAGCTGTCGGAAAAGCAAGAAAAAGACATTGACCCACCATCAACTGCAATGTTCTAGAGTTCTTGCTTCAATCTGTTCTTTCATTGCTTGAATAAATCACGTGTAAACAATCTTTTGTCACACAAATTGTCATTCAGTCATGCACTGCCACCTTAATAAGAAAAGACGACATTTTTTTCATGTGATGGCTAAAATTTATTATGATTGATGGAAAAATTCTTGGATAAAAAAAGTATGTTAACTTGGGTCAAATTTGGTGACTGATAAATAGAATGACCCATCAACCATTGTTGCAAAAATTATTTGCTAAAATGTAGTTGTTAGTAGTATTAAACTTGTAATTTTGCAAATCACATGGCTCCGATACTTTCACCGGGCATGCGAGGATGGCCAATTGGCCATTGCTCGTTTTTATAGTCCTTTTTTCTGGGGGGAAGAGAACCTAGTGATGTGTCTGAAAACGATAGCCAACCCACCAACAAGCTCAATAATTTAGTCGTGCTGTAGCCAAGGCGTGTTTTGGTGGAACCCTTGTCATCAAATCATGCCCGATAACCTTGTACAGACATTTCACGTCCCTGAGCAGACGGTAAAGATCAAGACCTGTTACATTCTTTTTCTAGGAAAACCCACATGTTTTCATGACTAGGATTTAACTTCTTTTGGCAAAATTGGTAGGTTGCACTGATTCTTCCTTTCTGCTTGCCCCATGATGTACAACTACAACTCTACTGTTCGAATCCACTTTTGTCTCCAAGAAGGCGAGAACAGAGAGGACAATTCCCATTAGTTGATATAATTTGGTTTAATGCTGTCAATTGTGCTTTTTTGTCCCTTGTTTTACGAAGCAATCTACACAACAAAAATACTTATCTCCATCAAAAGAAGCTGGCAAAATGTACAAGTTAATTATGTTACAGACATTCAAAACATATCATCTTATAGTAACAAAATTCATCAGGCTTTTACATGTTACTTTTGATTGGAAATACAACAATTATTTTTTCAAGGAACAATGATGTTCATGAATTTCCTTTTCGCAAATGCTAACCACCATTTATTTGGAGTTCCATTAGGCCTATAGGAAACACTCAACAGTCTCCCACTCGTTTCTTCTCTTATTTGCTTCAGATAATTCCTGAGCAGTTCAGCATTTAAGAAATCAACAAATTACATAGTAATAGAAGATTATCAAAACTTTGGTACTTGAAGTGGAATAAAATCACAAAAGATCAAAAACTTTCACATAGCAGATAGAAAAGAAAAGTTTTATGAAATATTCCAGGCATTGCAAACTTCCTACAACACTTATTGTGCATTGATCAAAGAAGTATTTGAAAACAAATAGAATTACATTTTTCTATTCATCAAAACTGAGGCATTTTAAACACCTTGATAATATCATTGGAAAGGAGGCTCTTTAAACAACTTGATCCCCTCAAGTTAAGATAAACATAAATTCAAGAATGACTTCAAATCTATATCTCCATATATTTTTGTCTACAGACCATTTACCTTTGTAAGGTATTACATAATTTGTTAAGGATGTTTGTAGCATTTTACAGAGAAAGGCCAAAACTAAAAAAAAAATAAAGAAAGAGGAAAGAAGAAGGTTCTGGAATGATATGGAAAGGAGGAAATGGGATAGAAAAGGGGATCAATGAGGGGGAGGAAAGGCGGAAAGAAGACTGATAAGGAAGGTATGGACCATTCTAGCTCCTTTGTTACAATAATAAAGATGGTTTAACAAGAAAAATGCAAATTTAAAGACAAAGAAAAGCCCCATAACATTTAAAAAATGTTTTAAAATGTTTTTATAGTTTTCGGTTATTTGGGTTCTTTTTGGTTTTAAAAGAAGAAAACAATTTGGAATGTTTTTAAATAATATGAAAAGTTATTTGGGTTCTGTCCGGCAATTTGTATTGGTTTTCCAATAGGCTGTAGAATCATTTTTTCTTTTTTTAAGTATGAGTAAAAGCAAAAGTTGAGGAATTACCAAACTGTTAAGTAGGGTGGTTGAAATTTTTAAGAGTTTACTGGTGGGTCTTTTATTAGAGAGCAACACTGGAAAAGGAAAAGGGGTGCAATAAGGATGATGCCACCAAAGCTAAAAAGCTCACTGAGAAGAAGTTCGTTGCTAAGGATATTACAGGCCTAAGAAATTTGCTTTAAAGGCTTAGAATTTGTATCCCCTAAATGATTTGGAGTCATTTGGCCATATTTTTTTTATTTTCTAAGAGAAAGGTAGAGAACCTATTTTTCAGTGATTTTTAATGCAAATAGCTTTCTTTCCTTCACCTTTTTTGGCATTTGTTTTTGTGTATTAGGCTAACTGGAAGGCTTCATAATATAGCTTTTGTCTATCAAGATTTTATGCAAGTTTTATCTCATGGAGTTTGCATCATACTTTCATTATTGCCTTTCATTGACAATTGATCAACATCCTGATTATGGATTCTTAAAGCATCTATTTCATGATTTATTTGCTCTTAAAGTTATTGATGGAAATGTTCTACCTTTTGATTTTGTTAAAGGTTAGGGACGTCGGAACTGGCAGCAACAAAAGAGGGAAAGGGAATGTTAAAGAGGAAGGCAAGTGGCTTATATCCTGCAATTAGCATGTGTTATAATGTTATGATTTTTACTTTGCTCAGAAAATTGTTTCAAAGCATAAGCTTTAACAAATGTTACTAAACAAGCTAATTGTGATCTAGGGTGATGTGCTTTGGCATTGTTGGTTAAGATATGCTTTTGAAAGAGGGAAGAAAAGCTCACTTCCAATTCTTTTGATGGGCTAAGTTTTAGGATGTTGAACTAAAAAATTATGGTGATATGACATAAGTGAAATTTTTTGTCATATAATTTGCGCAAACTAAGTTTAGTTTTTTTATTTGTTATGACTTTGATTTAATGTCTTTTTGAAACTCATTATATTATGAGGTTTGATTTGTTAATGGGATAGATTACCTAATTGGAAGGTTGCTGCTCAATGATAATTACTTTTGTAGTATAATTAATATGTTTCATAGCTAAAAGGAATATGCAATGTTATGTTGTAGAGGTTAGTTGCCTTTTCCATTGATCTTTATCTGTTAAATGTTTATTTCCTATTTGTCAATATACCCATTTGTAAACCTTATGATATTTTATGATTTGATCTATTAGCAACATGGGTGACTTGACTAGGAGGCTGCTATTCTTTCTTCATCAGTGTTTAGGGTGCATATGTTTGATGTTTAATAGGGGCCATTAAGTTTTAGAAGGTGAAGGTTTAAGGGCTAAGGGTAACAAAAAGAACGAAGAAGAAGAAAGATATCGGAGAGGCAACGAGAGACAGAACCATCGAATAAGTTGTGATAGATCATAGCTCAAAGTTATTGTCATGGAAAGAATTTTTCTGTACACTTGAATTAAATTCTTGATTTATGCCCTAACTTTTAATGTTGGATTACGTATCCAACTTCAATCAACTTCCTTAATATTTTATAATTACCTTTTTAGCGTTCAATTATACAAATGTTGCTTTATGTAACAATTTTTATTTAATATCCATAAAATTTTATAATTATATGTTAAAGGTTAATAAGATCTCACAGAGAAGCGTGAGCTTTTGTCCTAGTTTTCAATAAAGGAAAGTTCCAGGTAAGAGAAAAGAGTTTATGAGGCCGTTAGGACCGGGATTTGGACCAACTGGTTCGAACCAGAGCGGTTTTTGTCCTATTATAAAACTTCCTTAGTCCACCCACTCTCTACCACTTCTCTTACAAGTTTTCTTCTTTGACCGCAACTCTTTCTGTTATTTTTTTCTCAAAATCCAACATAGAAAAAAAAAAAAAAACCCAAATCTCTCTTAAGGTTTGTACCCTAATATCAGCTTTCCAATTCGGTATCATGTCAATTAAATTTCCTGTTTTAAAGTTCAGTTTTTGATCTGTTTATAGCTCTTAATCAGATTTTTTTTTTTTTGCCTATTTAGTGGAAAAAAAGGAAAAAAGAAAGATTTTTTTATCAAGAGAATGACATTGATGGCAACGGCTGCGATGGCTGATTCAGGTTTTGTTGACAATCTAGTGTTGCCACCAGGGTTTCGGTTTCACCCAACTGATGAAGAGCTGGTTGTCTATTATTTAAAGAGGAAGATCTGTAAAAGAAAGCTCAAGCTTGATATCATAAGGGACACTGATGTTTACAAGTGGGAACCTGAGGAGCTGCCTGGTAATATTTTTTACCCTGAAGTTTTGGGTTTTTGTTTTTAGCTTGGGATTTTTTTGGTTAATTATTGATGAGTTTTTTCTGGCTACTTGTTTTTCATTTTGTTTGTTTGACTGATATTAGTGCTTTATCTTTCAACATGCAAATAAAAGGGTATTGTTTTGGTGCTTTGAGTTCGTTTTTGTTTGATTAAATTTCCTTTTCTAGGGATTGTTTTGATTTGATCTGTTGTTGATTTGTTCATTTATGGGTTTGGTTTATGAGGATTCTGTGGATATTGATTCCTTTACATGCAAATCTCTGTTTTCATCCATTCATTTAAAAATATCACTGGCTTGCATTGACTTTGGTTTGCACAGTAACTGAATTGTTTGTTTCGTTATAGTTTTGGTTGGTTATCAATTGATTTTGATGGAAATTTGAAGTGTAGAAATTGATTGGATGAAATTGGTGATGTAACTGTATTATCATGTATCATTTATTCAGGTTCCATACGTCAATTTGAAATTTGCTGTTTTTTATGCGTTTTTATTTGAAATTTGTTTGTTTAGTCATCCAACGCATTGGAGTTTTTGTTTTCGTGAAAGCTAACTTCTTTTAACCTCTGATTGCTATGATCTATGACAAGCTAATGTAATCAATGATGAAGTTTTCAGATATCCTAAAGATTCTTAGACCAAGAAGGGTTGTTTTTGTTCCCATTTGAAGCTCTTGATGCTATCTATTTTAAGGATGGATTGTTTGTTTGAAAAAGTTCACCAGCAGATAATCTTTGCTGGTTTCTAGCTTTTGGTTTTGCTTTATTTGGTTGTTTTTTCTTTTTTCTAATGAACAAAAAAACCATCATACAGCACAATCGATACTGAAGACTGGGGATAGGCAGTGGTTCTTTTTCACTCCAAGAGACACGAAATACCCTAATGGAGCAAGGTCAAACAGGGCAACCGGACATGGGTATTGGAAGGTAACAGGAAAGGATCGTACTGTTACCTGCAATTCTCGGACAGTTGGAGTCAAGAAAACTTTAGTTTTCTACAGAGGGGGCGCACGTAATGGTGAGCGAACTGATTGGGTGATGCATGAATATACCCTTGATGAAGAGGAACTCAAGAGATGCCAGAATGTAAAGGTATGCAGCTGAATAAGTTTCCTAAGAAACTTTTCCAGTTTTCCAACCATATATAATCTGTTCACTAATTCTGTGTTTCTCTTTTGCATTTCAGGAATATTATGCTCTCTATAAAGTGTATAAAAAAAGTGGACCTGGCCCTAAAAATGGCGAGCAGTATGGGGCACCATTTAAAGAAGAAGCATGGGCCAATGAGGAATATGCTAGTTTTAATGAAAGTTTCGGTCATGTTTGGCAAACAAGATTATGATAGGATAGGATAAGATGATATTATGAATAAAATTAGATTAAATAATGTCATCCTACTTTGTGTTTGGTGTATGCAAGGATAGGATAGAATAATTTATTTATTTGTCAAAATTATCCTTCCTCAAAGTTTATACAATTTAAATTATTGATATAATTTTTAGGGGTATAATTGGACATATAAGTTTAATTCCATGAATTAAAAATAATCCACTTGGGGAGGATTGAATAATCCTATGCCAGGAGGATATTAATCCTCCTTGCAATCCCTATCCCTCTCTTTAGATAGAAATCGAATATGATTTATGATGATTATCATCCTATCCTATCAATAATCTTACGCATTAAACATGACCGAGGTACATTTTATTTTCACAATTCTTTATGGTTAAGAAAAACAATTGGATTTGTCTGATAAGTAAAGACAAAGATATTAAAAAAAGATCAAGTACAGAGAAGCAGCTGACTGACTAAAAGGATTCAGTGCTAGTACTAGGAACACGTTTCGCAAATGCCCAGCAGTTCAATAATCTATGTGACATTTAACGTAATACCAATGAAAAAGAAGATGGTCAGGAGATTTACCTGCTTCCTTTTGAGACTGTGGAAGTGCAAAGAGCCCTGGAAAAGGAAAACCAGATTCTCCAGGTACAGGAACCTTTTCCAATCCCAAGTTAATGATAGCCTTAGTCCCTTCAGCCAAGGTTCTACAGCCCTCAAGCCTCTTCAGAGCCAAATTTATGTAGAAAGTCAAATATATAAGGAGCTTATCTGCAGGGCTCTTAATATCAAAGTTTCTAACAAACACAATGGCACAAAAGAAGGTGATGGCTTCATCAACAATATCAGTTCTATTGGCATACCACCATCTTGAATTATCAAATCAATGAATAAGAAAAAAATCAATGAATAAGAAAAGGACATCAAATCGAGAACAACTACCCAATGACGCTATTAAAACATGAAATTCGCCTTGATCTGAAACAGGAGCAGGACCCTTTATATGACTTTTCAAAGGAACTAAAGGGCAGCCACAGGCATTAGTAATTCCTTCCTCATCAACAAAACTAGAATGATAAACCTGCCACTTAACAACTATTTCTAAGTGAATATCAACCAAAAATTATCATAATTAAAACGATCATGACATACATAAATAACCTAGCAGAGCAAGGGAGAGGTAAGGAAAGAGATTGATTTAGCTACCATTTTCCTTGAATCCCATTTCCAAATAAACGAAATCAAGGAATTGGATTTTCCCAAGAAGGAAAGGAGGGCAACCAAAATTTTCTGCAGAGAACAACAGTAAAACACCAAATTACAATCAACAGTAATGATCTTTCCACAAAAGTAAGAAATTTTCCTATCCAAAAAAGAGGAAAAAACATATGAAATACTAAATTCAGACCGATTCATTATATGGCATTAAGCAAGATTTGAAATCTTAAAAAAAATAACACAAACCCATTAAATTACAGAAGCCATGAAATGTAAAATTAAGGTAAACCCACTACAGGAATGGGAAATTCGTTTCATTCTGTATAATGCATAAACAGATATTAAAATGTAGATATCTTAAAGGTAAAAAAGGGGGAAAATATACCAACAAACTTACAAAATTTTCGGATTGATCTTGACTTACAAAAATGAACCAGTTGCATGTCGTTCCATGCAATCATGTAGTTGGAAATGGGGGAAAACAAGAAAAAGATCAAGCTACTTCCTGCCAACAAACGCTTTCAACTAGGTCCTCGACGACTTAGTTGAACAGCAATCTTTTCACCTGCCTTTGCAAATTGACCTTTAACTAGTTAACTGGGCCGTAGTGCTGATTTTCTGCCACTACTTTTGAAGTCTGAAGATGCTCGAAAGGCAAGGGCAGACCAAGAACGAAATACAAAGCCTAAAAAGGATCTCCAGGAAAAAGGCCCCTTACCCACCAAGGTTGACAGCAGGCCCAGACACCAGTTTTTGGTGAAGTGGGATGCCCTATTTTTGGTAGCCAATGGCCAAGTGGAATCCAAATCTTCTGGTGCTTTCATCAAAAATGATTTTTAAGGGTTGAAAATATGATGAACCCACGTATACTTGTCTTTGCCATAGGTCCCAACGAAAATCCTCCTCTAAACCTTACTAATAACTAATGTTGTAGATGACACTTTTACCGTTTGGGTTACAAATTACTGGTGGTTTCCTCTCTTATACTTCTCTATCGAACCTCTAATCATCATTCATCATTTCTCTATTTGAAATAAAAAGTTTATGATCGAGTTCTTAATGTGTAAATGATGGAATGGATGTATTGTGAAGTAAAAAAATCATATCAACCTCCATTTTAATTTTAAATTTCCTTACCAAAAAACAAAAGTATTAGATTATAGATCAATTCAATCAAAATCAAACCACTTTGGACCCTTTTTGTATTCCTTTCTCCCACACAAGGCACCACTAAACAGTCTGGCCATCACACCACCAACCAGACACAAGGCACACCCTCACAACCTGGCTTCTTTATGCTCTTAGCTTCAACGAAGAAAATATTTGAAAAACTATACGGCTCATAACATACCAACTTGTAAATATTTTGAGGCCATCAAACTTTTTTGGCACATTTCACACCATGTTAAACCTTTTTCAACATCATTTTCTTTTGTTAACCTTTCAATCAAGAGACAAAACTACCATTTCCCTTTAGCATCAGAGTCCAAAAAACTCTTAATAACCATTCCATTGGTTTTTGGTAGTTGATTCTAATTGTTTAGGATTCTAAAATGACTTTTTGATTGTCATGGAAGTCGAACAGACAAGCAGGTGGTATTACAGAGGGAAGTGATTTTGATTGATACCTCTTAACCAATTAATTATGTTGATTTTAGCTTAGAACAAAAGTCATTCCGAGTCTAGCAGACTTTTCATTTTACACCTCAGAGTCCTTAGGTAAGATAAAAGACCAAAACTTTGAGCAGAAACTCATTGCCATATTCAAGTTGGGAAAAAAAAACCAATAGCCAGTAACAATGCAACATCGAAACTTACAACAATTTCAACTTTCACATTAACCTAAGTTACACAGTTTTGTTTTTCTTCTTTTGATGAACTTGCAAAATTCAAAGCTGGTTTTAGCAGAATTTTGCAGCTCTTTCATGGTGACAAAAACCTCTGAGGCCAAAGAATGGTACTATACTAAAGCTTACTTGTACAGAGGTTACTAGATATCAAATCTTAGTTATAGTTGGAAGACGTAGATGTTATCCATTAAATTAGGCTTGTGAATGATGATGTCAAGACATAAGGAAGATTGGCTAGAGGCCCTCTTTGGCAGGCAAGCTCATGGACATCCTTTACAATATCAAATACGGCCTCTGGTTGTGCTAGTTTAAGAGCATTCTCTGACATTCTATGTAGCTCATCTGTCTTTGTGCTGAACCATTCTGCCACGATTCTAGCTGTTTCCTTAGGACTTCTGGTGAATACTCCTGCGCCATTGTTTACTACATAAGGTACATTGCCCTTTTCCTGCAATCACCAATTGAAAAGTAAAGGTTAAGAATAGCAAAACTAGAAGCCATTCAAGCCATCTTATAACTAATGCAGTTTCAATAGAAAGGTTGGTAACTAACCTGTCCTGGAATGTAGTCATTGAGAACAATTGGAAGCCCCCTGATCAAGGCCTCTGCAATGGTACCAGGACCAGCCTATAATTCTCAGACAGATTAGTCTAGCCATGTACATGAAGCAAGAAAATTTATAAATATAGGGCAGTTTAAATTGAAATTCATGTACTTACTTTTGTAATTAAGCAGTCACAAACTCCCATCCATTTCTCCATCTGAGTTTCAAACCCTCTTACCTACAGTGAAGCGAAAATTTTGTTTAATGACTGTTTTGATTGTGCTTGTCTGATGCTTATGTATGGTAAGTTCAAGTAATAAAATGAAATTACTTTCACCGGGATCTTCCATTCCTCTGATTCCAATGTAGAGGCAAGGGCTTTGTTTCGGCCACATATTATGATTAATTGCCCTATTGGTTTCTCTTGATCTTTATCATAGAGTGATTCGTCAAGAGCCATCGCTGTTTTCTTAACAGGGCCCATTCCTTCACCCCCTCCCATCAGCAGAACCGCAGGCAAATCAGGATCCAACTCAAGCTCTTTTCTTAAATCTTCCTACAAAACCAAGAAAGAAGAATGCATAACAAAAATCAGAAGTCCCTCCAACTAAAGCAAGCATAAAATCGATTATTTTATGTCTACGATCCCCACCTTGGAAAGAACTGCACGGGCAAAAGAAGGGCGAATAGGCAGACCAAAAACCCGAATTTGGGACTCTTCAAGGCCATCGTATAATGCTCTCTGGGCTACCTCATTTGACGGGCAGTAGCATCTGTTAACCCCTGGATGAAACCTGAACAGAATTCCAATTGTTAAGATATTCAGGTGGCTTGCTGTTAAGGAACATGGATACAAAAATGGAAATTCAGAAGTTATGGCTTTGATCAACTGACCACGTGGGATGGCAGGTATTGAGGTCTGTAATTACAGTAACAAAAATTACTTTCTGTTGAAGGCCTTGCCATTTAAGAACCCAGAGAGGAATGTGTTGCATTAATGGGTGCACACTAATGATAATGTCCGGCTTGTACTCCATGAGGCCAGCCTCTACCTCCCTTCATTGACAGATAGCAGAATACGAATTAGAAAAAACTCCCCATCAAAAAGTTAACATTAGAGCATGGAATCCATTCATATTTTTTTCAGATATTTAACTTTTATTGCATCTTGAATTCTTCAACTAAGTAATAGTGAAACCGGAAGATGAAATCACGTCCAAAAGAAGATGAACCTACTTGGCGTAATAGGCAGCAATGGCAGCAAGATAGCAGCTATGTATCCATCTAGGAGAGGTACTGTGAAAGGCAACTTTCCAGAGTTGTACGTGTTTCACCATGAACTTATAGGACCTCTCCATGTTGTTCAATGGCCATCCTGTGTATTCTTTCCAAACATCTTTCACAAATATCTGAAAGCAAAAGATGTCATCCGGAGCCCGGACAGTGAGAAAACGAATTCACAGGAAAGAATGTTTAACTTATGACGCACAAAATCAGGAATATATATATATATATATATATATATATAGATATAGCTGAGGAATCAGATGTTAATGTGTATAGTAGGAGCAGAACACCAGACTTAGCAGATTTGGGATTTCCAGATGAATGCAACTAATAATATATTTAGAGGAAAAGAGGAGAAATTTTTAAGAACATTAACAGGAAAACGGAGAAAAGGGGATAATCAAAACAAGGGAAAAAAATGTAGGAAACATGAAGAACATCTTATTTCTTATTTGTTGAAGAATTAATTGCACAAGCACATTCATTAACTGATAAATTAAATTAGAAGATCTAGATGAACAGATTGGATTTTTTTAAAAAAAAACTTGATTTAAGATGAATTTGATATTGACAATATTGCATTAGCTCTTGCATAAAACAAAAATTTACAAAAACACAAAATATCATCAAAATCACTAATAAAAATAACAAACAAATATTTTGCAGATCAGAATTATTTCTGAGAAGCATTGGGTTGTACAATAAAAATAAACAAAAAAATGAAAGAAACAAAACTAAACCAAAAATAATAATAATAAAAAAAAACCATGAAAAGTAATGACAGAATCAAGCAGATTACCCTGTATTCATCTCCAAACTCAATCTGAAAGGCGTCGCGGATAGCTTCAGCTGAAGCTCTATGGCCACCACCCGTATCACTCATGAGAATCAGCACATTCTTGGTTCTTTCAGCACCCATCTGCATCAACTGAATGGTCCCATCATCATCCTCGTATTCATCGTCACTCTCATAAGAACACCTCCTTTGATGTTGATGATGATGATGATAATGGCCGCTGCTACTACTACTGCCATAAACTCTCTGCCATACCTTCTCTGTAATGGAAGCAACCTTTTTTGGCGACGCTACCTTCATCACCATGGCTGCAGAAGGCAAAAAAAAATCGATCCAACAAGAAAAAAGAAAGCAAGATACCAAGAAACAAAAACAGCCCTTTGTAAGTTAAATGGTTTTAACTGCGAACTACCCTTTTCCCGCCTCCAAAAAATGGTAGTTTTCAGGCAGAGAGATAGGGGGAAATGGAGGTTTTGGAGAGAAAATTTGATGGCGGAGACAGAAAGACACAGGCAGAGGGTAGAAAATAATTGATGTTGTTTAAGGTTTATGCAGTTGGCAAAACGTGGAAGGTTAATAAGGTTGAGGAACGGAAGTTAGAATTATGCTTCTGGTCGAATTTTTGAGGATTTGATGTTTGATGTGTGGGGTTTTAATCAACTTATAGCCGTCAGATTCGCATTTTATTTTGGAATGTTCGAACGGGAAGATTCGGATCTCCACTATCTTTTATACTTTTTCTAAATAGTAATAATCTTTTTTTTTTTTTTTTAATGGAGAAAATCTTCGTTTTTATTTGGCTTTCTTTGGTGTCCTCCCTCTATTTTTGGATGATTGAAATTAACGGGAGTTGACTTCTCAAAGTCATCTATTTGGTCCCTTTGAGTGGGGTTAATCCATTTCTATTTTTATAATTTATAATTTTTTTTAATAATACAGTAAGAATAATTTTAAGTTTTACCGTGTTCTAATTTTTTTTTAATTATTTTAAGAATGCATTCTTCCAAGAACATACCATATATAATAATTATATTACAATTAATTAATCAAAATTTAAATTTACGTAAAATTTGTAATAGTTGAATTAACCAATTCTGTAACAATAAAATTAAAATTTAGAGTTACATAAATTTCAAAATAGTGCAATATTTACACTATAATTTAAAACAATAATAATTAATTGGAAATTTTTTTTTTTGATATCATTGGCAACAAAATGTAAATTGATAAGTTATTAAAAGGTAAAGCAATCAATAACTTTGTTGTAAATTACGTGTTGTTATTTAATTAGTAAGAAACTTTAACATCTCAAATTCAATTTTACGTGGCATAATTAAACTGTTTTAGTATTATATAACCCAACCATTAACCAAAAAATAGAGATATATACTCTTACATGATTTTATACATTTTTAACCTGTATATTTTTTAAAACTATTAGTAGCATTTACATAATTTAGGATATGAAAGTCATGCATAGAGTTGACATCGAATCGGATTCGAAGCGGATTTTGTTTGTCCTGAATTTAATTTTATCCGAATTTTTTTTTATTTTTTTATACCCGAACCCGATCTAATATTATATAAATTGTATTCGATCTTATCCGAAATTAATAAAATATTTATTTTTTAATATAAAATATTATTTTTTAAATATAAATATTTAAAAATATCATTATATAAATATATATATAAATAATTAATTAATTAAAAAATAATTTTTTATATAATATCGATCGGATTTATCTAAAATTCAAACCCAACTCAACCCAAAACTCGAATTTCAAATAAAAAATTGACCTCATAAATCGAATAAAAACCTATCAAAAACGGATTTGATTGTCGTCGCTAATCATGCATGATGGTCCATAAACAGTTGTATCATCCATTTATCAATTTTTTACATCCATGAATTGATTCTAACTGCATGAAAATGATGGCCCATAAAATCTTGAACCTGATCTAAAGCAAATTAATGTGTTTGAGTTTATTCTAAGTTTAGCAGGTGTGTTAATTCATAAATATAAATGTCGACCAACTTTTACTAGGATTGAGATTAAAGCGTTCATAGAAGATAATTCAAAGATATGAAATTATGAAATAAATTGGTTTTTTTGTTTGTTTAAAAGCATTGAAAATATTATTACGACATCTTACTTAATAAGCAACGAAATTTAAATTAATTTTAGATTTTATTTTTAAATCTTATCATAAATAAATTTAGGAAATTGTAAATGAAGACGTTAAAAACTCTTTTACTTGCAGCACAATACAGACAATTAGAATAGAAGCGATGCTGGATTTATATTACTTGAATTTTATGAATTCTGGGACCCAATCAAACTTTTATTTTGGATAAAATTCCAAATTCTTACTCAACCCTCATTACGTCATTGCAGCCGCAGCCATTTGTGATGGGGAGACCCACAAATGGATACCTTTAGTTAACAATAAATGGCTGCGCCTTTGGAGAAAATGGAAATTTGATGTTTATGGGAAATTAATTTTTCGAATTATAATAAAATATTTAACATAATATTTTTATTTTAAAATTTTATATAATATTTAAATTATAAATTTATTAATTAAATAGGTTTTTTTTAACTGTGCATGGCACGGAATTTTTTATTATATTTTTTATAAATAAAAATATTTTTTATTATTTATAATTTATAATTACAAAAATCATCTGTATATAAATTATTATGAAAGAATTTAAATAAGTATTATGAAAACTTTGAATTAAAAAAAATAAAAATACATACAAATAAAAAAAAGTTGATATCTTATTTATAATTACATACACTCCTGAAAATATATATTATTTTAGTATGAAAACTAAGATTTATACGTGTGATATATCATGAAAATTTTTTTCACATTTGATTTTGAAACTTTATCATATCAAACTTTTATGGTGAAAATTTAATTTTTCTCTCTTTTATAAAGAAGAAAATATTGATTGTGAAAAAAAATCATAAATATATATTTGATAATTATTTAATTATAAAATATTTTAAATTTTAATAATAAAGTTTATCTAAGTTTAATTTTAAACTAAAATAAAAAAAGTTAGTATAATTTTAAATTTAGATATATGTGTAATTTTAAATTAAAATAAAGTATTTTTTTATTTTAAATTATAGGAAAATAATGTTTAAAAAAATCATAAAAAAATAAACGCAAAAAAATTGGCAAACATCATTGATCCAACCATAAATTTTATTTATTTAAATTTATGTGAATATTAATTTAGACTGTATATAATTTTTTATAATTCTTAAGATTTAGAAATTTAACTTTAAAAAATTATTTGAAAATTGTATTTCATATATATAGGTAAAAGTGAGATATTATATATGTTTTTTCAAGTTTAAATTAGGATAAAATTTACATACTTTAAAAGATTTAGAAAAATGTAAATTATAAAATTTTAAATTTTAAAATATTAAATAATTAATTGAATAAAATTATTTAAAATTATTTTATATGTCAATAATATAAGTTATTCATTTAAAAATCTACGTAAATAAATTTTATCAAATTTTTATATATATTATAATATTATATTATATATTAATATTTAAAAAATTATTTATTTATCATATATCATTATTTTGAGTTAATAATATTAAAAGTTAATATTATATTTAATTAATAAATTTTAAAATTTAAATATTACATTCATTGTCTTACTATAATTCAAAAATTATTTATGAGGTTAACCTTTCGAAAACCACAAACCCATTCGTGGACGTTTTATCCTTATGAAGGCGTACGACCTCCAGCTTGAAGGTCATATCAGACCCAGTCAGCTTGTGATTGCGTTGGAAATCATATTTCGTACAGCACAATTGCACAACTAAGGATGACAGTGTAACCTCGGCCCGGCTTCTGATCTTTTATGATTGATTTTTTAAAAAAAAATTGGATATTCAATCGAGTTTTAAGTAAATTTTATTAGATTTAATATATATTAAAATTTTATTTTTTAATTTTATATTTTTTTATGTTTATTTAATTTTATATTTATATTAAAAATAATATTTTATTAATTTTAAATCAAATCAAATTAAATATAATTTTTATACATCGAATTAGGTCGAATTTTTGTATTAAAAAAATTTAAAAAATTATCAAAATCAAATTCAAATATTATATATATAAAATTAAATCGATTCGGATTTAGTAAAAATTTATCTCAATTCAACTCGTTATTATCTCTATACATAATTAACTTTTTTGTTATACCATATTATAGATAAAAAAAAGTCAAAATATCTTTGAATTAAAATTTAATAATTATCAAAATTTTTAAAGATTTTTCAAATTAATTAAATTTTTAAATATTTATTTTTATTAATTTGGTTTTGTTAAAATAAAAATGATTAATTGTTTCGTCTAATTAATAATTTAATTGAGTAAAAATAAATATTTAAAAATTTATAATTCAAAATAAAATTAATTTCAATAAAATATCAAATGGATAAATAATTATTTAATTTTTATTTAAAAACTCTTTTGATCCTTTTATGTATATTATAGCATACTGTATACTAACCTTTATTAAAAAGCTTAAACTGATACTCCACAAGAGATAATTTGAAAAATCTAAATACATCCTCATTTTTTCTTTCTACATCTCACTTTTTTTAAAAAATATTTTTATAGATGAAATTATTTTAATACTATTCTCACAAATATTTAAATATCATATTCGATAAATTTTATAATTTTTTAAAAATATATTTTTAAAAAATATTATAATTTTTCAAAAATAAATTATCGAAAAATTATAACACTTCACGACACTTCTAGAAAATATGAAGGAATGAATGCTTTTAAAAAATTACAAAAAAGAGAATTTGGTTAAATTTTTATACATTAGTGTAATAAAAAAAGTTAATATTAAAAAATCATAAATTTTAAAATTGATAAAAATTTACTTTTATTATTTTGATATTATAAAAAGAATAAAATCTTATAAGACCCTAATTTAATATTTCATCTTTTGATGTTTATGAAGAATGAAAGAACTATCATATCTTATCAACATATTAAAGTAAAAAATTGTTTAAAATTATATAAGTAATATTACTGAATATTATATAATTTTATCAAATCTAATATATTAATTGAAGAAATCTATCGCGATAAATTGATGAAAAGACTTTCTCCAAAAAATTCAATTTAGTTAAAACTATTATAAATTTTAAAAATTGATAAAAAAATATTTATTAAAAATGATAAATTTTAAATTTATAAAAAAATTATATTTACTATTTTATCTTTAATTTAATTAAGATTTCATAAGATTTTATTTTTTAAAATCAAATAACAAATGTAAATTTTTTATTAATTTTAAATTTATAATTTTTTAATATTAATTTTTTTATTACATTACTTCATAAAAATTTTAATAAAATTATCTTTTTTGTAATTTTTCAAAAACTTTCAATTCCTACACTCTCAAAAATGCATTTCCGATGAGTGTGATAACTTTTAAAAAATCCACACTATTATGACTTTTTCACAATTCACTTCTTGAAAAATATATTTTAGAAAAATTATAAAATTTATTAAATAAGGATATTCAGAACACTTATGAGAAAGATATTTAAAAAATTTCACTTAAAAATTTTTA